CTGTTTGCGTGAAACAGAGAAAAACAAAAAAAATACAGGGAAAAAACAAAAAATACCTAAACTAATTCTGAAGCCCTTGTTTAAGGTATGTAGGTAGATAGGTAGGTAAATTCACAGACTATTTAATTACATAGCCAATCATGTACGTATGGATGCATGTATGTATGTATACTTTTGTCAGTACTTAGATACTAGTATGGAGATCTGTGTGAGTCTGCGGAGGCATGTCTTGTCAGACGTGCAACGGATCTGCCGGTTTCTGATGTCAGAATTTTAAGTTGCTGACAGCGCTTAGCGGCGCAAAGCGTAAGACGTCTGAGCTTGAGATTCCATGTTTCAGCCTGGAGAAGGCCAGGATCTGCCACCCGGTTTTCGTCCGAAGCTGGGGGCATATCACAACTCATCATACATAAGTCATAAGTCATCACAAGTTATGACTGCAGCAATGCGGCAGCAAACGACACAGTAACCGCGAGCCTGCCGCCTGCCTGGGACACGTCGCCTCGGCAGACCATTGAAGCGAATGATCTTGTGATCTGAAGAGTGCCACTTTTTTGTCTGACTTCTTGGATTGCTTCGAAATGAGAAGCTGAAAAAAGAGAGTGCCAGTGCCACTCTTCTTCGCGCCGTTCGTGTCACTCTCGCTGAAACAGTTTTCGAGACCGAGGCCGTGCACGGGGTTTTCGCTGATAAAAAGAGAGCCCGGGCGGCGTCCCCTTAAAGAGCGCACTCTCAGCACGACACAAAACCATGGCTTGAGAGCGCGTGCGCCGCCGCCCGGCCGTCTTGCAGATCATCTCAGAGCTGCGCCAGGGCCGCCACGCGTCACATCCCCCGAGCCGAGATCTCCCCCTGGACCCCCAGAGATTTGCTGCACCGCAGCTTCTGGTACGCTTAGCAGCTTAGCAGCTTAGGGCACGTCATGGCCGCTTCGGCGCTGCCGATCCACAACGTGAGCTCTGGGCAGGCCAGGGGAGCTCCCAGCCGTAAAGCACATGAGCGATCATGAGAGTGTGTGGTCTCTACACATCACTTAAAAGTCTGTGTTGTAAAGTCTGTCTGTGTGTGTGTGTGTGTGTCGTTCAGCCGAAGAAAAACGTGTCTGTCTGTAAGCCACACATCAGAGTGTCTCTTAGTCTTTAAGTCTGTGTCTAAGCCTAAGCCACTCCTCCCCCTCTGACCGCTCCCAGGCGCGGGCGGAGGAGGTCTTGCGGGATGCGGGGGCGCCCGGCCGAGAGAGTCGAGAGTGAGAGAGCGGCGTGGGCGACGCGACCCCGCTAGTCGCGTTTCAAGTGCACTCGAAGGCCGAGGAGGCCTTGCCTGTGCTCTTCCCGGTCCAAGCACCTCGCGATGTGTTGGCCCAGAGCTCTCAGAGAGCTCTCAGAGAGTCAGAGAGAGCCCAAGTCCGCAGTCCGCGCGAGACTCTCCTCTTCTGTTTCAACCGCAGGGAGGCTTGTGGAGTGGCATCAAGTGCGTCCTCGGTGGAGTCCTGGTGGGACTTGCTGGCTTGATCGCTCAACCGATTGAGGCCAGGCTCACGTCACACCGCTAGCCAGTGCGATGCCACTGCCATCGTGCAGACTTCAGTCTATCTCTATACATGTATATGTACATGTGCCTGATAGAGTGGCTTTGAAGGGTACAGCGACAGCGCTGCGAAAGAATCTTCCCGTGTCAGGTCACGTCAGGTCAGGAGTCAGGGAGGCTGAGATTCTTAGCTCCGCATGTCTTGCATTTCCTTGAGTCACTTCAGGTGGACGGAACCCTTAAAGGAATCGGTCCATGCATCCCTGTCACTGTACCTTTATTTGAGCATACCTGCATTGCAGCCCGCTTCGGTGGTATAAAAGATCTAGCCAAGCCCTTTTAAACCCAACTAAAATCTCCCACGCTCGCCCCGCAGAACCCGGCAGCCCTGTGATTTGATGCGCTGTCCCGGCTGTCCCTGTCCCGTGCTCTCGGACTCCATGGCAGGGAGCTCGCGAGGAGGGTGTGGTCGGTTGTTTTCGCGGTGTGGGCCTGGGCTCGGGCCTCGGGCTTCGGCCGGGCTGCCTTTTTCGGCTTGCGCGTGCAGCTCTTGCAGCTCGTGCAGCTCGTGAGCTCGCAAGCCGTGCCGAGGCCTGCTTGCGGGGCTCTTCTTCGCGATCACCGGGCTTTGCACCGGTGTCTTCCAGACGCTGTGAGGGCCACAGTGACTGGTGTGAAAGGTCAGCCACAGCAGGCTCAGAGCTCAGAGTCTCTTTAAGTCGGGCGAGAGGGGGATCGCCGCATCTGAGGCGAGGCGTCGCCGCGACGCCGCGAGCCATCTGCATGGACGCGAGCTCAGCCTCCGCACCCTTTCCTGCACCTTTGCGCAATCCTTGGCCTCAGCTCCTCGCGGTGTCCCTGCCCTCTGGCTCCTCCTCCGTCCGAGGCCGGGCGCGGCTGGCGCTGGGACGCTCAGAGCGGCACCTGGACAGAGCCCAAGGAGCCTCCGCGGCTTCGCTCGTAACGGATCCAAAACAGTCCCGCTCTAGCCCCGCACACTGACCAGACTTGTAACACCTGCCTAGCTGCCTGCCTATCACAAAGCAAGGCCTCACTTACGATAGCTTGCAACAATCGCTCGAAGGTGACCGATGATCTCTTTAGGATGGTGACATTCTGCCTGTGGCAGCTGTGGCAGGCTTACTCACTTCTGGAGGAGGCCGAAGAGGTACTCGTGCAAGATGGCTCGGTGCCCAGAATTTGGGGCTCCAGCCACGACCCGCCGCGCCTGTCCGATGCCTCCAGGTGAGCCGAGCGAGACAGCCGAACGGAACGATCGCACGCGACCCACGCGTGTGGCGTGCCTCCCGGAATCGGAGTGGTCACCCCAGCAATTGCGAGCAGGGACGTCCCTGCATGAGGCAGACACCTTCTACTACGACCAGGCGCGGTGCTGAAGAAGAAGACATTGATGAGTCCACACCGTCAGAGCTTGCGGAATTTGCCAGCATTGCAGCATTGCAAGCATGCGCAAGCATTGCATCGTTTATGCGTTTGTCGCGGCCTTGCTCTCTCAGCTTGGCGTGGCGATCGATGCCTCGCAGCAAGAAATCCGGCGGGCCTACTTCCAGAGATCGAGGCACTGCAGGGCGCCGCTGCCGACGTCGCTGGCCGTCCGTCTTGCTTCTGCCAGCGCAGGCAGTGTCATCCAGACAAGACATCAGAGGAGAATGCCAAGGCTTGGGCTTGTCCAGCGGGGTGGCCGAGCCGGGAAAGAAACAGCTTTGCTCTGAAGGAGCGCTTCCAGAGCATCTCCGAAGCGCAGGGCGCCCAGAGCGCTTGGCGAGGTCTGGGTTCAGTGTGGCTGCTTGGCTGCTCTCCAAGGTATCAGGTGCTTTCCGACAAGCAGAGGCGTCGAAACTACGACCTGCATGGCAGAGACGGCAAGGGGGAAGGCTTCATCGACGCCAAGGTCGCGGCGGCGCAAGCTTGTACATGGAGGTGTTTCTCCGATGGTGCCGCGTTGCCTTGTGTCTTTCTGGAGGTGTTCTTTGACGTCTTGCTGGGAGCCGATGCTTTGGCACCCTACGTCGGTCGCCTCAGGCCGTTGACCCAGCCTTCTTGCGAGAGATCTACGGCATGACGGCGTGAAGCGACAGGATCACAGAGGTGTTGGGTCAGGACGGCTTGGGACCTTGGGACGGCCGTGGCCGTGGGGAGAAGGGATAAGCGGCGAAGTAGAAGTCCCATTGAGGCTCTTGGTGGCCCACTGCGAGCCGATGGCATTTAAGCCGTTTCAGCCCAAGCCATGGGCGCAACGCGCAAGCCGTCGCCGCATGTCGCTTCAAGCCCTGGGCGGCTCCCTTTCTTGGCACAGCTGGGGCTGGGGCTCGGGCTCTGTCTTTCTGCGGAGGGCTCGCCGGGCGGCCTCTACGCCTTCCTGGACTGCCACTCGGACCTCGGGTCGATGCAAACGCAGCGCATCGCCTTTTTTTGGTGGAGCCGTGTTCAGGTGAGGGGAATGAGCAGTGGAGCAGCTTCCGGCGCCAGCTGGCCGAGCCTGCGGAGCCGGCTGCGGCGCCTGCGGCTGCAGAGGCAGAGGCAGAGGCAGAGGCAGAGGCGACCGCAAGGCGTCTACTCACAGAGCATCTTCCAGGCGCCTCAAAGCCTCAAAGCTCTCAAAGCCCCGCTCTCTTAGAGGAGAGCCCAGGTCCCAGGGACTGTCCTGTCCAGAGAGCGCAGGTGTGGAGGCCACCGCGCGGCGCTTCGTCGAAGCCCTTTCCGAGCCCCGCGGCACAGCCCCGCGCTTCCACGAGGACTGCCTCTACGGAGTCTCGGATCGAGCCTGGCCCTCCCCAAGATGCCTCCGTTACGTTCTCCGTTGGATCTCCGCTTCTTAGGCATCTTGAGGCAGTTCGAGGCGCCACCACTGCACTTCCGAAGTCCTCGTGACCAGAGAGTGCCTCTCAAGGATCTTTTCTCAAACAGCTTAGGTTATTTCATCATATAACCTTAATCATCGGGTAATCTATTTTATAGAATAGCTGGAAATTGTAAATAACCCCTATCTAAAATAGTTAAATATCTTATACTTAGACTCAAATGCAGTATAACCTAATTCTTAGGACAGAGTCTAACCTTGGCTTAGAGGTGAAAGATCGGTCGGGAATGGCAAACCTCTCGCGCTTTGGAAACCTCCCACGCTGAGCGTCTGAAGAATTCAGGTTTCCCACCACGGCACGTCACGGCACGTCACGGCACGAGGAGAGCAGCCGAAGATCAGCAAAGAATGGCTGAACAGGAACTTTGGAACAGCGACTGGATAGCAAGAAACAGGACTGAACAACAAAGCAAGAAAGCACGGCAGAAAAAAGGGGTGAAAGAGGGGGACCGACATTGGCGCAAACTGTTGCAAAGGGTTTTTGGGGGTCTTGACAGCAGGGAGCTGACGCCGAGGAGTGGTGGCTGCTCTCCACGTTCGCGGCCGTGCGCTCCACGCCTCAGGACGCGGGGGGGGGAATGAGCCCATGGGCCATGGTCTCGCGGGCGCGCGTGGAGGTGCCCTCCATGCCGCCTTGGCCGACTGGGACTTGGCCCTCCGCCTCCTGGGCAAGGCCTCCCGCCAGAAGCCCTCCCTCCCTCTGCACCAAGCGCCTCCACTTGGCAGGAGCTTGGCCTGGACTTCCTGGAGTCCACACACTGGCCCCTGCGCTCTGGACAGCTCCTGGAAGAGATGAGGACAAAGCAGGCAAGGGCGAAGAGTAACTGTACGCGAGATTGGCGCTTTCTCGTCAGGGAGCACGAGGGAGACCGCGACGACAGTGGCAGGCGAGACCGCTTCGGCGACGACACTTGGACTGCGACAGTCTCCCTCCTCTCTTTCGCCCGCTGTCTGGTCCGCGCCCATGTGAGAGGTGCGGCTGGACAAGGGCCCTGGGCTCTCGATCCGCTCAGCTTGGATCGGCCGCTCAGCGAAAGACAGCAAAAAAGAGAGCGAGACAGAGACTGACAGAGACAGGGCGCGGTGCTTTGCAGGTCTCTCTGGGCGCGGCTGCGGCTCCCTGAGCCCTTTCCAAGCCGAGCGGCCGAGGCAAAACGCGGGCAAAACGCGTTACACCGTGCACTGCCGGTGTAAATTGTGTAGGTCTGCAAGCCATGCCGCTGCTGGGAGGCCTTCTCCGTTGTGGTCTATGGCTACCATCCGGTTCTCATCGAGCCCATCTCGGCGCTCCTGCAGTTCGAGGCGCCTCTATAGAAGGCAGCAGCAGAACGCGCGCCAGCCTGCGCCAGCAGCTGCGAGCTGCTAGCAACTCTGCCTAGGACTATGCTGAAGGACTTCAGCTGAATTGGTGCGCCTGGGCTCCCCTCCCCGGAGTGCTTTCAAAGCGAGGAGTGTACATGCTCATGCACAGCTGCTCGGTCGGCAGGTACGGCATCAGCGAAAGGGACTGCAGCTTTTTCGCGCTCTGCGAGGCGACAGGAACGCGCAGGGAAGCGAGGAAGCCGGTCCCTGGTAGGCTCCGCTGGAAAGTCTACGAGAGCTCTTTGGATGAGGAGGAGGTCTTGGCGGCTTATGACAGGTTTTGGGAATCCGAGCTATTGAGAGCAGATCTAGTGATTGCCATGGAACTCCGGGATGCCTACTTCCTTTGGCGCGTGTGTGATGCTGCCACGATCTACTACGCGGCGCTGATCTTCTTGCAGGACGAGGCGATGAGCGACTACGCCGCAGACGTCTACTTGCGGCAGTTCGATGCTTTCCGAGAAAACGACGTGCTCCACCGCCTGAAGCAGGGCCGGCTAGGGCTGGGCCGGCAGCTGGGCCGGCTAGGCCCGGCTCCTCCACGGACCGCCATGGTGGCGCAGTCGCCCTACATTGCCGCCAGCATCCAGTATCACACCAACCAGACGCTTCCTTGCGTCCGGCCTTTGGCCCTCTACGTCGATCAAACCTATGCCCCAAACCGCTCCAAAACCTCGCTGCTGGTCCTCTGTGCCAGGCTGGGGAGGGAGAGACAGAAAGGGAGGGAGAGGCTTGGGGCAGAGCTGTGCCAGGACGCGGCTCATGATGTCGCACGCCTGTCGCGGACTTTTCCGGGAAGCTCGTCGCTTGCTGTCCCGGACAGGACTCTCGGACTGAGTCGAAGCGTTTTTCTTCGCTTCTCTCCGCTGCTTTAGCCGCTTTAGTCCGCATTAGCTCTCAAAAAGCGGAATTTGCATCCGTCGCCCCGTTGCCAGCAGTGACCCGCAAAGTTGCATCTCAGGGCCTCGGTTGTTTTTGCCCTCCGGGGACCGCGACGTGGTACACGGCTTGACCTTCGCAGAAGTGGCCACCTTTCATGCTGCTGTGCTGATTCCCTGGAACATTGCCATCACGACCTTCTCAGAATTCTACGTGGGGGGCACAGTTGCGGGCGCAGCGCGTCCCGGCGTCGCGGCGCCGGCTTTCGGCTAGCAGAGCTCCAGCTGAGGCCCTGCATTTGCCCATCTTTGTGCCGGATCCGCTCTGGCTGGCAAGGCTTTGGCCGAAGCAGATGACGAGCTATGCCAAGTCTCATCCAAATTTGCACCGACAACTGCGACCCAACCACGAGCGACTGGACTCTCTCCAAATGTTCTCTAAATTAAGGTCGACTCCCTCAAATCCCCTGAGAGTCTGAGGCATCCAACACCATATCCGTCCCTTGCACCTCGGCAGTGATACGAGCCGTTGGAGCTGCAAGTAGAAAGCGCAAGTATCCTTTCTTTTCTGGAGGATTCGCTGGCGACGGATTTCTGGATCATGCTGTACTGGGCTGAGAACTATGGAGGCATCTACGAGATGCCTGGGGTCCAACAGTTCGCCTCCATTCCCGAGCTCCTCTTTTCCTTGAAGCAGAAGCTTTCCGAGAATCCGCTCTTTTTCGAGATGCTGTCGCGGGAGATGCAAGAAGAAACTCAACGTGCCCGTGAGGAGGTTCTCGTCTTCTGGCGTGATCTCGCTGGTGTCCTCACCGCCTCAGCTCATGTGCATGGTATGCTGGAAATGATGTGACACCAAGTGACACGGAGAAACCCACCGCGCTCAGCTCGCCCTTGGGGCCCTGAACGTGCCACAAACGCTGCAAGCACAATGAAGCGGCTAAGCACAGCTCCCAGAGCTCCGAGAGACTGCGCCCGCGCAGGAGCTCTTCAGCGGCTCAGGCGCGACATTTGGCCTTCCCCTTCCCCCGCGGCTTCTTAGGGTCTTAGGGGGCCTTCTTCATCTCTGCTGCCAGGAGACGATCAGAGCGCCTCGCAGCAGACCCAGGCCGGGCCCCTTTTCGGAGAGGAGCTTTTAGCTCTTTTCGGGCGCGGGGGGAAACGGCAGACTCGGCGCGAAGTGAAGCTGGCCGTGAGCCTGGCCTCGCGGTTGAAGCCTCGGACCAGAGCTGCGCTGCACCTGCACCCACTGCACCCACTGCACCCGCCTTCGGACTTCGAGGCTGGATGCCATGCATGGTCCTCAAGCACTTCAGGAGGCGTTTACTGCCGGTGTCAACTTCCCCAAAATGTGGGCCGAGCGTGAGGCAAAAGATGAAGCGTCAGGCGCAGTTGACGGGCCCCCCATCTTGTCCTCCTTGTCCTTGGAACTCCTGCGTCTCCTTAAGAACGCCGCCAGGAATTCTGCAGCGCGACCCGAGCCTGGCACGATTCTTGACGGAGATCGGCTGGGTCTACGCGAACCGCGCCGATGTGCCGGGGGCCCATTTGAGCTCCGCTCCAGAGTGCTCGCGCTCTCCGCTGTGTGCGGTGAGTGCAGAGCTCCGAGTCCGAGGTACCTCGCATCTTCGGGGTCTCTCCTGGGCTCTTGGAGCGTCCGGCGGCCCAGAAATCACACGCTGCCGTGGCGCGATGTCGCGATGTCGCGGCCGTGCGATCGCGGCTCTTCCTTTTCGAGGTCTCGGCGCTCAGCTCTCGAGCTTGCGGCCACGGCCACCAGGCGAATCCGCCGCAGCTCTTCTCCCCTCTCCACCTTTTAAAGGCTCGCTCCTTTCCCGAAGGCCCCGACAGAGGACGCCAAGTGGGTTTTGCCATTGCCCCCTTTTTGAAGAAGCACGGAGGAGGAGAGGATGAGTGCCAGCGGTTCAATAAAACGACATCGCCCTGCGCGATCGCTACGTACGAAGGCAGGCGTTGGTTTCCATAAACGGAGAACCGAAGCGAAAGTCGAAACGTTTTTGACTTTTCGACTGTTCGTCACTTTTCGGGCTTGTCGGCCTTTTCGGGTTTTCTTGCACTTCTTGGACGTTTTCGATTTTTCGGCTCTTCGACTTTTCAGGCTTTTCGGCTTTTCGACTTTTCGGGTGCGCTGCTCGTTCAGGGTTTAGGGGCCTAAGTTGCGGAGTTGCTTGAAACCTTCTGGGGTTCGTTGTGCAGATCCCTGAAAAGTCCCTCTCACGGTTCTAAGACGATTTAGCATGTGGTGATGTACAGGCCGTTACAGGCTTTTTGGCTAGGTTTTGAACAGAGCTTGGGCTTTGAAAAGAGCTTATGGGGTTTGTTCGCATTCGTAGCCTAGCACTGAAATGTAAAATATGTTCATCCGTTGTGTATATGACTGTCGCCATAGTGCTCTGGAGGAAAAAGTGTAGTGCACTGCAATGGTATAGATCTTCTACGACTTAACGGTATTCTACAACATCAGTGAGTGTGAGAGTGGTTTACCCAATCTATAGGTTATCAGCCGGCCTGGTATTACAACTGTGCTGTCAATCAGTGCATGAGCTCCCCTGAACTGGTACCAACTGAGACTGCCAATTCGCCTAACGAATTGTCTTTCTGATCAATGATGGAAAAGAGCAATCGTGCACCCTTGCAGCTGTCAGGAATGGGTAGTCGTGCAGAGGCAGACGTGGGAATAGTTAGTCCTAGTCTCAATCTACCAGCTACAGGTCCGCTCCCTGGTGGCCCGGCCCCACTGGTGGAGTGCCGAATGTTTTCCAACGTTGAAGTCCTGAGGTTCACGTAACACAGATGAACGATGAGGTCCAAGTTAGAAGCTAGAGCGGAAATGATACACAGGTATTTTGTGGAATCCGTCGAGCAAGCAGCAGAGCACAGCATTGCCGACATAGAGCAGTGTACTGAGAGGGATCACTTCGAGAAAGTTGCCTCCGTTGACGGTATGATCTGAGGGAACAGTCGCTGTTGAACGAGTTAGCAATGACTCAAAGAAGCTTTACTGCCAATGACGTAAGACTCCGAAAAGACTTGGAAGAAACCCAACAAGCTAGAATCTCAGATGCGCTTGATGTTCAAATGCAGGAACATATGTATGCGCAGAGATTGCACGAACAAGCGACCCAAGTCATCCTGGAGTCGCAACACGAACTGGTTCAGCAGTTCCAAGCAAACTTTGAACAGTACAAGCAGAGGGAAAAGGAAGAACCTAGGGCTGTTGTCTACGTACGGGCTTCAGGAACAGAATGAGGGCCTTCAGCATCGCTTGGAAGCAGCGGAACGTGCTTTGGAAAAGAGTTTCGTCAGGTATGATACAGTGACCCCAGACGGGTCCGCCGAGTCAGCCACTAGGCATTCCAGAGCCGAGAGCAACTCCTTCGGCCCCGTCGGCCCCCGAAGGTCCTATGTTCTGTGTGCCCTCCAAGTGCTAGAGAACTGTTTGCCTTCATGAACCCAACTGCAACAGCTGCACATACCCCTGCTGAGCAGAAGGTTCCCGAAGACTCGGGTAGGTCATCCGTACTGGGTGACGCAGGCTGCGGCCGAGCACGGCACGCCGAGTCTAGGGAACCACGCGCTCCTTGAAACCCAAATGGCAATACTCAACAGGCTGAAGAGCCTTAGAGGCGACAGCAGTGCTGAAGGTAGTAAGCAAAAGGTCAAGGAAGCTGAGAGCATCAACCTGCCTGAGTTCCCCAACACTTTGGACACAAAGCTTTTGGCAGCGCTTACAGCACAAGGGAAATTCTGATCTTCAAGGAGACAGAGGCTTCCAAAAGCAGGGCAGTAAGAGGGAGACAGGTTTTGTACTTGTTCGACCATTACACCAGCGAATACCCCGAACAGAATGCATCGAATCATGCCGGTTCAGGTTGGAACGCGTTGGAACACAATCTGTCTTCGCCAGCATATCCGTGATGAAGGGGGCCCAATGGCGGCCCACCCATCCTAATTACCATGGAGCCCAGAAAGGAAACGTGAAGGGAGCCCAATGGAACCCACGCCGTCGCCCAGAAAGGAAACATGAAGGGGCCCACCCGCCAATGGAACCCACCGTCGCCGCGGCCAACCCATCCAACCCAGGAACCGAGAAAGACATGAAGAGAGCCAAAATAGAAGCGCAGCGTTTTTGCCGTGGCCCACCCATCCAACCCAAGAGCCCAGAAAGGAAACATGAAGCCGTGGCATTGGCAGCCTAGCCTCTTTGCCGTGGCCCACCCATCCAACCCAAGAGCCCAAAGGAAACATGAAGGGAGGTCAACGGCAGCCCAGCGCGCCGGGGCCCATGAACGGAGCCAAGAAGGGACCACCGCGTCGCCGCAGCCATGAGGAGCCCACTGGAACCCGTCGCCCAGAAAGCAAAAAAACATGAAATCTTGAGGAGGCGACATTGCAAGCAACAAAGGCCATGTCACCACGGTCACGCACCTCACAGAGGGGGATAACAGCAACCACATCAAAGTCCACCAGTCGACACTGCCAACCTCCGGAGACGAGGTGGGGAATGATGTACCTGCGAGCAAACATCAGGTACTTAGCAGTGCGAGTGGGGACGCTACCAGCCGGAATGCAGAAGCGACCAAGGCAGTAGAGACCAGAGATCTGGTATGCCCGCCTGAGAATTCATTCGCTGAATAATCCGTTGCGTGGCCGGGGCCCAGAGATCCTGAGCAGGTGGAAGGTGCAGCATGGTCCAGTTGAGACCGAGCAACACTGCATTGGCATAACAATGATTGTTGGAATTGGAGATGCATGCAGTAGGATGCAGTAAGGCATGGGCACTCACTTGGACAATCGCTTGGACACTTCGGTTGCTAGGGGGAGCGCCCCATCTTCCATCCTGAGCGACCCTCCGACGAGCTGCCAGATGGAGGAATCGGTCAGGCTGGTGAGGTGCCGATGAAGGAGAGCAGAATGCTCGGTTTGACTCCCACTTGGAGCAAGAACGGGACAGTGGGTCCCTTCAGAGGTCCGGTGGGGTTTTTGCGTCGAATGAAAGCGGAAAATGGACAGAGCTGGCAGCGCCGCCTTCTGCAGCTCCGCGAGGATGTCGATCATCTTGGGCTCTAATTTCCAACCTCCGGCCCTCCTGGTTGAAGACCAGGAAGCGAATCAGGAGCTTCCGCCTGGTCCCTGTAGCTGATTGGCGTGAACTCGCTTCTCCGGGGTCTCTGACACAGCCTTCAGTCGCTTCAACAGCTCCGTGATCAACGTCTGGAACAGGAAGGAGCAGTGAGCTCACCGTTCTTCTGTTCCCGCAGTTCGTGCCAGTGTTGCGACTTCTTGATGAAGAGCTGAACCAGAGACACCTGAGACTCCCGCTTGAAGAACATTATGAACTGGTTCTTTCTAGTAAACCAGTGGTGGCAGAGATAGAGCGCAAGTGGCCCAGTCCTGTAGCGGAATCAAGGCACGAACCTCAACATCCTCGCACAGTGGCCATGGGGAGTCAGAGACGAGGACAGTAGTGGCGTCACCCCGTGACACAGAGGGTACCGGCGAGAGATAAAAGCGACATCCGAGGTGTCGGGAGACATACATACATACATACATACATACATACATACATACATACATGCATACATACACACACACACATACATACATATACATATATATATATATATGCTACAGTACCTACCTATATGGTGTGTTTATACCACCGGTGTGTGTCCGCGGGATCTGCCCTTAGCCAGTATTTTTCGCCTCACCATTTCTCATCTAGTCACTATCTGTTCCCTAAAGTCTCACCGACTCACCGTCAAGCAATTGTTTCTCCTAGAGCATGCATCCAGTTGTGTGACGCTTCATACCCGCCTGCCTCGTCCCTAC